GATAAAATTATCTAAATCAACTTTAGCAACTTTAAATCATTTATTTTTACATTATCTTTATTTTTATGATTATTTTCACTCATATTTCATATTTTTTACTTTTTGACAAAAGAGTATCCTTTTACAGAAAATGAGCTCCTTTTTAACGTTTTTGAAATCGGCAAATTATAATACAATTATAATTCATATAAATGTAATATACTTGTATATATTTAGAAAAATACCAAGGCGCCATTTTGAAAAACAGTGATAAGATGTTGATATATTGTTAATTCTTAATAATTAAAAAAATGTTTATGTTTATTAATATATTAATATATTAATAATAGGCTAATATTTTGTTAACTTAATACACCTATATTAATTATATTATATTTTTTATAAATATTATATATTATCCAAATGATATCATGGAACATGAAGTTGGGACAAGGCTCGTGATGTGACAGTGCGGGTACGCAACTCCTTAATGGAGTATTCAAGTTAACCGAGTATTCATCTGAATTGGATTGTATAAGAAAATTAGGCTATCATGGAGAGAATACTGTAATTTTTTTTTTAAATTGGTAAAAAAGTTGTTTAGAGAAATGGAGTCATAAAAGAGTTCATAACAAAAGCCCCAAACTCCAATAGTGAGGGGGAAAAAATCACCTATAAGAAAATAATATTTACTGTTATTTTCTAATCTACAGTTAGATATTACCGCAGGGTTATCCCCGCAAACATATCGATTTCAAACAATAATGTGTGCTTTTTTATCTGTGTTGTTTAATAATGAAAATAGATCGACAAGTTTGATTTCTTTTATGTTAATTTCACACACATGTGCAAATTCATAAGTTGGTCTAACTAGTTTTGGATAAGATGCACTGAATCCAGTCACCCTTTAAGATTGATCAAAATTATTTTATCATTTTCTTACAAAAAATAAGCTCTTTTTTTTTTAATATTAGTTCATATATATATTTTGGACACAAGACACAGAGCCCCAAAAATATCAATATAGGTCTGGTAAAGACTAGATTCTTGGCAGCATGGTGAACTAGAACATGTTGGCTATGCATGGATCTGTGTTCTTCAGCCCTTACTTTCAGTGCTAATATGGAGGAAGTATAGTTCCGTGAGTTCAATTAAAAAAAGAACTCAAATTATTCGATTTAAGTGAAGACTGTGCATATAGAGTACTAAGTTAGCTAAGTTCAATGAACATCTCGGATACATAGGTCATAAGCAATAATGCGATGCACTGAATGGCCAGCAACGAGAGAGATCGAGAGTCCATCGGAAGCTTTGTTAAGTCAAGTACCAAAATTAGAGCACTAACTGAAAAAAACAAAAAACAAAAAACAAAATGGAATGGAAAATGAAGAAAAACGAAGTCTAATAAGTAAAAGCATAAATAAGATAAAGGGATTAGTATTTCTGTAACATCACGTTGGGCTCGAGAGGGTGGGTACTCGTTAATCAATGAGGTAGATGAAAATAATAGAAGTTGATAGAGATTCTTGTTGTACATTGCATATTTGTTTTGGTTTTTCTTTTAAAACGAAAATTGCTTCTTTATTTAGGATTTTTTAGAAATTTTTTGATTATAATTAAGCTTTTTAATAAAAAAATAAACTAAATTATAATATTCAATATATTTAATTTGGGTTTATTAGCTCGAATATTAAAATAATACTAAAATGTTTGTTTAGCCATTAATCACAATATATTCAATTTTATATCCTAGAACTATAAGTAGTTAATTCATGTTGCTATGGACTAGCCACAGGTCCAAGGACCTATCATTAAAATTCATTCAGGGTTATTTTCTAATTAATATTCTTAAAGTGAGACATTTAGATTTTCATTATAGATGATTTGATTTTCCTGTAATAGCACAACTCACATCTCACATGTGCGAGTGTGTTTATTTCACACAATAGAAGTTCATGACAAAATTATTATGACTCATTTTCACATTTATCATTTGGGAATTTCTCCACCAATAAATATCCCTCTTCATAGGGGACTTTTTTTCTTGTAAACAACATCAATTTATTTTTGTAAACAATTGAAGAGGGACCTTCAACACACTATCAACAAAGCTATTTGTACAGTTGGGATCTATAAGTCCACTATGTTTCCTTCAGAGGTGAGTCACTGTATGGATAATACCTTTAGCTCGGGTACTGACCAGGCTAAGAGGTACTGTGCCAAGTATAAGCAAGCAATCAATAAGAGATAAAATGACTTGAAGTAAATGGGCAGAATAACGATACATAAGATACCTTCATGGTGTGCCCAAAGGGACTATTTATAGGGAATACGGTGTTGGTTGGTGAGGAAGAAGAACTCTCCTTGGAATTCACTCTCTAGTGGCAGTGTTTGGCGTGGCAGGCGCTGCTATTGTAGCAACGCTGCGCCTTCTGTACCTGACGACAGTTTCCCTTTTTGGTGCCTGTAACGATCGTCTTTGGGGGTTAAGGTTCCAAGATGAGACATTTCGGTGCTTCGCCTTGGGCGCGTGGCAGCATTGAGGGATGAGAGGGTCCACGTCAGCTCTTAGAGCTGACGTGACTTGGAGCTTGAAGTTGGGCTTGAGCCATTGGGCCGCTTAGTGGTTAACCCATCTGAAACACTATTATTATGCATGAATTACACTAAAGTCACCCAGCCCTAAGACATTATTCCTCTTTGCTCTCAAGCTTCACCTGTGACTGCTCACGGTGACTTTCCATGCAGTCTTGCTATACCATTGATTTTTTTATTTTAATCTAACCGCACAAACAATTCATATGGAATTTGTTAAGAATATCATGCTTAACGTGAATTATTAAATATTGATTGACGATAAGTTTTATAATATTTATTGACGATAAGTTTTATAATGATTGCGTAAGTAGGAAAAAAAGTAATAAATAACCAACAGGTTAAGTGTTGAGTCTGTTGACCACAATAAAAATAAAATAAAATAACAGGAATCCCCCATTTTCATCTTTTTGATATGCCAAGCACGAAAATTCGAGTCTCGTTATGTGTTTTTCAGCGGTGGAAGTAGTTGATATGAAGTGGCGTGTGGATAGAGAGAAAACCTTCGCTACTTAAGCTATAGATACGAAAATTTTAAGGTACTCTCATCGCATCATTAATTGGTGTGACGGATCAATTAAAGTTGGAGAGAAAGCCAAGTTAATTGTATGAGAAAGGGAATTTTTTTTTAATCCATATCTCATTTTTTAAGTGAAAATCCTACATATAATCGATGCACTGAAAATGCATTCCTATAAATATATTTATATTAAAAGGAAAAAAATTTGGAATTAAAAAAGTATGAGTTAAAATAAAAAGAAAACTTTCCTTTTTATTAAGAGAATACCCCCTTATATTAAAGTAATTTCCGTGTATAGAGGTGAAGACCTAATAGCATTAAAAAAAAAAGCCCCCGTGTGAGGGTGTGAGTAGCGATCGTGTGGGTTATCCCTTTTGATAGTTTTGATGCTGACACACCTAAATATACTTTCTTATCGAAATATTTAATATGCTTCAGGATCACTTAATGATTTGGTGTTCTATCTTGCAACACTAATTTTTTCTTTCTCATTTTACCTCTGCTATTTTTTTTCTTTTTCAATTTTACCCTTCTATTTATACTAAGGGACCAACTAAAAAATGGTGATCCTGGACCACAATAAATTATCTCCTTTCTTACAAAGCTGCCTTTTGACAAGTGCCACGCGCGCCAGCCATTTTGGTCTTATGCCCAAAATCGTCAATCACTGTATCGGTTCTCATCTATTCCTTCCCATGCTTACCCTAATTGGATTCCGATGATACTTGTTGGGAAATCATTTTCTTATGTAATAGGAGATAGTTTTCTCATGTTGTGAGACATCGAAATTCGTGCTATCTTTTTAGTTTTTCTTCTTTTTTAGTAAGTGGTGGGCCCCACCACTTATTGTGTCTATGACATGAGAGATGATATCTCATGTGACATGAGAAAAGAGAAGCCCATACTTGTTTCTCTTTTATCTAAGAGCCCCAGTTGTCAATATTTTGAATAAATAGGATAAAGTCACCCGACTATTTCATGTTCAATCACAATCATAATCATTTTTCCTTTGTTTTTCAACTCTCTTTTGAGCCCTTTTGATAAGCCCGAATTGCATTGCATTCAATGACATCTTATCCCAATCCTCAATTTATTTTATCAACTATGTATGATATTCATAATGTGAATTTATCTGCACCATTTTAACACTATTTAACGCATACGTTTTGATGAAATTTTGTTCAAATCTTTATGTTTATTATTTACTTTTTTTACATAACCTTATTACACATAAAGATATTGAAATTGACTAGTTTGATTGGCCTGGCACCATAAACCATAACTACCATTTTGACTTTACTATCATTTGTAACTGTGAAAGTATTTACATATGCTCTGTTTAAGTCAACAATGTATAAATACATTTACGCCACAAACTTACAAAAATGTATTTACAAACACACCCCAACAAAAAGAACGTATCAGATTTAGATTGTTTTAATTGGTTAAGTTAGGATTTCATTAAAGTACAGATAGAGAAATAACAATTCTTAATAACGTAGTTTTTCAGGTAATAAATATAATCATAAATAGATTGTCATTTATTACTTATGGTACATTAATAAATTTGCTTAACACAAATGCGTATACTATCTCTATGCTTTCCTTGGACAATATCTTAAATTGTCGTCAATCTCAGCAAAAAGAAGATGACCAATTGAGAGACCCACACTAGAGGGGGGGAACAATGACGAGAAAATATATACATCTTATTTTTTCATTTTTTTTTAAAAAAGAAAAAGTATCGAAAACGGTAACTGTCTTTTTTTAGAGCTTTCTAGCCTCCTTTTTGGCTTTTGAAGACTCTCTCTCTCTCTCTCTCCCTTCATCCATTATTTTCTTTTCAACTTTTTTCTCTTTGCTGTCCAGAAAATCGTCCCTACCTCTTTCTCACTCCTCATATATAGAAATAAATAATATATTGTATTAATAATAAAAATAATAATTGTTATTAAATTTATCTCTATGTATGGTCATGTGGGGTTGGTTATTTGGAGTATGTGAGATCTACTTCGCTGGAGTGAATAGAACAGATAGAGGGAGTGGCAGATGAAGAAAAGAGAAACAGAGAAGGTAAAGATTTCGGAACCCTAACTGTACCGAGATGAAACCCTTATCATCATCGTCCTTGAAATTCGTGCGAATGTTCCTTTTTTCTTCGCCTCCATCAGATCCATGCCAACCGAAATTTTCATTTCCTCTGTTTTCTGTCACTTGAGCTTTTACACTGTAGGATTAGGGTTCCTTTGTTTTCATTTAATTTTTGTTTTAGCTGATTTTTTTTTCTTTATCGGAAGCTGTTAAATTTGTTGCTTTTATTTTCAGGATTGTTAAAGGTGGTATATTATATGCTTTTTTTTTTTTAAGGGACGGGGTAGAATTTTCGTATAGATTTAGTTGCGCCCTTTTTGTAACCACTTGCTTGGGTCAAACTCAAAACGCATTGATGTTCGTCTTTTATTTCCGTTTTTTAGCTTTAAGTGTAATCTGATCGCGTTAGCAATGAGTTCTTCAATGATGAAAGTATGAATCTCTTTTCTTGTTCTGTTTTGGTTATGGTACTAATGTTGCTATATTGATCAATTTGATGCAGGATTGTAGAAGTCCGAGGAGGAAGTGAGTGTATTTGTCAGGGAATAACTTCGTTGGATTACAATTGAAAAACGCCATAGCTCTTTGTGAAGTTTGGCATAAATTGGATTGATTTTCAGTCATGTTGAGGAGGTGAATGGAATCTTTTGTAGGGGTTTTATAGAAAGATTCTGTGATGGTATTCAGGTTGACGCGATTGAGAACATCGGATTTATATCCGATGATCATAGTTGATGGTTGGTTGTTCTAGACTGGCTGCTGGCATACACGGATATGCTATTTGTTAAATTTCTTACAAGTTTCAAGTCCTTTTATCAGCTGGCTAATTATAGTTTATATTTGAAGCTGCTAATTTATCTACGATTAACATGTAATAGATGTAATCTTTTGATAGGAAAATAGTTGAGTTGCAGTAATAAAATTGTCTATGGGTCATTGAGAGTTTTAGCTACTTCAAAGTGCTTGTATGAGTATCATATTTTCCGGGTAGCCTTATTGTTGGTGGTATGGTGTTGAAGAGTAAAATGGAAGCAGAGATATTGAGTACTAACCGCCTGCCTGGCTTTCTTCAGCGGTCACTTACTGCTGTTGTACCTATGCTTTTGATATCAATAGGATATGTTGACCCTGGAAAGTGGGTAGCAACTGTTGAAGGTGGTGCCCGGTTTGGGTTTGATCTGATGGCCTTCACGCTCATTTTCAATTTTGCTGCTATCTTCTGCCAGTGCATATCTGCAAGGATTGGTGTTGTCACAGGAAGAGATCTTGCTCAGGTATTTTGTTTTCTACTTTAGGGATTTATACAATTATACTACTGTCAATTGTTATATTTGGAAATATTCTGCACTCTGAACTGCTTTTTATCCACCCCAACCCCCGTCTCCCAAAAAGAAGTTCTATTTGATTTTCGAACAGTTTATTAGTTTTGTTTTGTGTTTTTTTGTATGGCACCTTGCCGTTTACCCCAGTCAAACAAGTAGTTGAACATTGGGAAAGTAAAAGATGGAAGGCTGTTGAGAAGAAGTTACTTATCAAGAAGAAATGAACCCAGAAAAAGTTACTTTTTTTTGTGTTTCCTCTACTTTTTCTTTTAGCTTCCACTTTCTGTAAAAAATAAACCTGGAGATGCATAGTATTTTTCTTACCCTGTTGACAATAGTCCAATTGTGGCGGTTGTGAGCTAGTTGAATGATGTTCTCTTTAATCTGTTTGTTGAATTGATTACTTAGTTTGTAGTTGGTTTCCGTTTTTCTTGTATTTCTGCCTCAAATGCAGATACAGGCTCACACATGCTGCTTACATGAGCAAACTCAGATAAAACTTCTTGCTTATACTTAATTAGTGTGTTTTGCTTATAGACTAACTTCACTCACTTTCTCCATAGATTTGCAGTGATGAGTATGATACATGGACATGCATACTCCTTGGCATTCAAGCAGAACTTTCAGTGATTATGCTAGACCTTAACATGGTAATACTTTACACGTGATTAACCTTAAAAATATGACCGGCTCTTCGGCAATGAATTTAATTTATGCATGTTCATCTGTTATATTCATTACCAAACTTGTTTTGACATGAAGCCATGGTTTTACCTGTTTTGCAAGATCTTGGGCATGGCACAAGGATTAAATCTTATTTTTGGATGGGACTTGTTCACTTGTGTCTTTTTAACTGCTACTGGTGCCATTTTTCATGTACTTCTTGCTGTTCTCCTTGTAAGTATCATTTTTCGCTAATTCATCAACATCTGTTGATCAACGCTTTACTTATCATATTGCCTTTATCTAGGACATTGAGAAGGCAAAAATCCTAGGCCATTTTGTGGCAGGTTTTGTATTACTTTCTTTTATACTTGGAGTACTACTCATCAATCAACCGGAAATTCCGTTTTCCATGAATGGAATGCTAACGAAGTTGAGTGGGGAGAGTGCATTTGTGCTAATGAGTCTTCTAGGAGCAACTCTTGTGCCTCACAACTTTTACCTTCATTCCTCTATTGTACAGGTATTATTTCCTCTCATTCTCAATTTTCTTCTTTGCTTATGTTGTGAAATGTCTGTATCCATGGCATGCTGCCAAGAAAATATCTTTTATGTGCTTGTGTGTATATATTTGCACCTCATGTTTTGCTTGCTAGTATATGAAATGTCTGCCTCTTGCAATATGGTGGTAAACTTGCATGCACAGTTGCCTTGCCACTGGAGGTTTATTATCTTTATTAAATCTTATTTGGACAAGGAGTCAAGGACTTTGTGCAGTCCTGGCCATTGATATCCTCTTTTTTCTAGAAAACTAAACTTTTTAATCATTCATTATTCTGACTTGATTTTGTATGCCTGCGTTAAAAACCTGTTTTTTTTTTTTACTTCATCTCACTACTGTAATGTTATCACGTCATTGCTTTATATAATGAAGTCATGAATATTATATAGTCAATTTTTGAACATTTGCTAATTTGAACTGTCCAAACCAAAACTTGCTTTGAGTTCTCTTGCCTCAAAAGCTACACAACTAAATTGTGGTGTCCTTTTGGTTGTCTCATCTCATGTATGGTTTCACTAATTGCATATTTTGTCCTAAGATCCTGCAGTTTGAAGTTATTCTTGCAAGTGCCGTTATGAAGGAAAATAAGGGCAATTATACTAGTTCTTTGAATAGTAATTTGATGTTATGTGCTTGGAAGTTGGCTCATTGACTGGCATGAAGCAGTAATTGTTTTAAAATGGGATTTCATACAAAACATAAAATTAGCATTCTTTAATACTAGATATTGTTGTTGGGGGGAAATGTAACACTTACTAATAGGCTAATGATTGTTTTGGATTGTGTACCCATTCTCTAATTCTAGACAGGCAGGCCCAATTCTATCAGATGGCACATTAACTGATAGTTCCTCTATGATAATATGGTTATGTTAACAAATGCTTCATTCAACCTATGTTACTTTTATAAGAGCCTGTACATTTACAGCGGGTTTTCAGTAGATATTTTTATATAACATTTTAATCCATATTTATCAATTATCTTAGTATAAGGATGTTCATTAGTAACGTTGTAGATGAGAAAGGTATAAAATGAACTTATTACATGGTAATGGTACCCTTAAAATGGGAAGAAAAAGGTGTGTTACAAATTCTCAAGGCGAAAGTCCTTAATATATGTTGTTTATGCATACAATATTTAGTTGTTGTTCTCCAGCAGGTTTCTTATAAGTTGGAAGCAATATGCTAATCTCCTGATCAAAGTAGAGCTTCTTAATGTTATTTATGAGTTTAGGTGTCTGATCCGTTTACTTCTCATACACGCTTTTCTTCGTCTGTGCTCCTAGGAGAAAAAAGATTGCTCATCATGTTCTATGTCATATTGGTTGCAGTTTTGAGTTTTGTCAATCTGAAATTTCATTTTCTTTTTGCAGTGGCATCGGGGACCAACAAGCATTTCTAAGGATGCGATGTGTCATAACCATTTTTTGGCCATCTTTTGTGTCTTCAGTGGTCTTTATTTGGTAAACAATATGCTGATGACTGCCTCAGTAAATGAGTTCTATAGTACGGGTCCAATTTTGCTTACTTTTTCAGATGCATTATCACCAATGGTACAGGTCTCCTTTTCTTCCATAATTGATTTATGTCAGAATATTGACTTACTGCATCATGTCTGTTATACACATTCTAAAAATAAGCTTCTTGTTGTAGGTGTTGCGTAGCCCATTAGCTCTGCTTGGTTTTCTGCTTATTTTGTTTCTTGCAAATCAAACCACAGCATTAACTTGGAATTTAGGGGGAGAAGTAGTAGTGCGTGGTTTCTTAAAATTGGATATTCCAGGTTGGCTTCATTATGCTACAATTAGAGTGATTGCTGTTCTGCCTGCCCTTTATTGTGTCTGGAGTTTAGGAGCTGAAGGGATGTATCAGCTACTCATATTCACCCAGGTTTTGGTAGCTCTGCAACTTCCATCTTCTGTGATCCCCCTTTTTCGAGTCGCTACATCTAGGTCAATAATGGGTGTACACAAGATCTCCCAGTTTGTGGAACTTTTGGCATTGATCATATTTATTGGGATGCTTGGCTTGAACATTTTCTTTGTGGTAGAAATGATATTTGGGAATAGTGATTGGGTGGGTGATTTGAGATGGAATGTGGGGAATGGTGTGTCGGTCTCATATTTAGTTCTTCTTACTGCTGCTTTTGCATCATTATGTTTGATGCTTTGGTTGGCTACCACACCTTTAAGATCTGCCAGTGTCCAACTAGATGCTCAGGCGTGGAACTGGGATATGCCAGGGACTGTTCCAAATCCGCCAGTTGTTGGTGAGGAATCATATTTAAATGAAACAAGGTGTCATGAAGATGCGTCTGTTCAGGTGAAGGATCCAACGCCAGCTCGACCAATGATCTTGGAGTACTCAGATGTATCACTTGCAAGTTTTAATCCTGATCTACCTGAAACTATAATGGAACCTGATGATTCCCATGTGACTGATGTTAGGGAGAGTCATTCTATTACCTCCTTTCCTAGTTCCCCTAAATCTCATGCTAATGAATCAGCTTCCACATCAGAGTCAGAGGTTGTATCAACTGTAGTTAATGAGATTTCTGATTCTAGATTGGGAGATGCCAAAACTATAAAAATTGGAACAAGTGCCCCAGTTGAGAAGACTGTAGAAGTTGAAGGAGATTCAAATACTGAAAGGGACGATGATGAAGGAGACTCGTGGGAAACTGAAGAATCATCTAGAGTGGTCTTGGCAAGTACCCCACCTTCAACATCAGATGGCCCTGCGTCATTCAGGAGTCTTAGTGGTAAAAGCGATGAAGGTGGCATTGGAAGTCTTTCGAGAATAGCAGGCTTAGGGCGTGCGGCAAGGCGTCAGCTAGCTGTTGTTCTTGATGAATTCTGGGGGCAACTTTATGATTTCCATGGGCAAGCAATCCCAGAAGCAAAGGCTAAGAAAATTGATGTTTTACTGGGACTGGGAGTAGATTCAAGACCCACCAGTTCCTTGCAGAAAGTGGACTCTTTAATGAATTCTGGTCCATATGACTCTTCCAGGCAGCCCCGGATGCAAAGTAATCCAGAGTCTTCATATGGTCTTCAAAGGAGTTCTTCCTCAATGCGGGCAAATCCCATCCAGTTTTTAGATGCATATGTACAGAACTCCAGCCGCAACCTCCTTGATTCTGGTGAGAGGCGCTGTTCCAGTGTGCGCAGTCTGCATTCATCTGAGGCTTTGGATTATCAGCCAGCTACCGTACATGGTTATCAGACTGCATCCTATATTAGCCGGGTTGGTAAAGACAGAAATTCCGATAACTTAAATCGTCCAATGGAATTATCATCACTGAAATCCCCTTCCATAAGTAATACCAATTACAGGGATTCACTCGCATTTGCTTTGGGGAAAAAGTTGCATAATGGTTCAGGTTTAAGCCAGCCCCCAGGGTTCCAAAACACAGCTGTCTCTAGAAATCCCCAATTGCAATCTGGGAGGTCCTATTATGATTTTTGTTCTTCTGGACCTGCAGATAATACAGTCAGTTCAGTTAATACTAAGAAGTACCACAGCTTGCCTGACATTTCAGGATACTCAATCCCCCACAGGGCTGGTTATGTGTCTGATAAGAATGCTCCATGGGAAGGTTCTGCTGGATATAGATATTTTGCTAGTAGGACAGGTTATGAACCATCATTATGTTCAAATTCTGGATCAAGAACAGGAGCTCATTTGGCCTTTGATGAACTCTCTCCATCAGAAGTTTACAGAGGCGGACTCTCTTCACAGTCGAGTTCTGGTTTTGATACTGGATCCCTCTGGTCTAGACAGCCTTTTGAGCAGTTTGGTGTAGCTGATAAAATTCATAATGTTACACGGGAAGGTGTTGTAAGTAGGCCTAATACAATTGTTCAAGAAACTAATACATTTCAGGATATAGAGCGGAAACTTCTTCAGTCTGTTAGACTTTGCATTGTGAAGCTCTTAAAATTGGAGGGCTCTGATTGGTTGTTTAGACAAAATGATGGAACTGATGAGGATCTGATTGATCGTGTAGCTGCAAGGGAGAAATTTGTTTATGAAATTGAAACTAGGGAGATGAATCAGGTCGTTCATATGGGTGAATCTCATTATTTTTCTTCTGATAGGAAATCTAATTCTCCAATGAAGAATAATGACACAAATTCCCCTAGTTATTTGGTGTCCTCGGTTCCTAACTGTGGGGAGGGATGTATATGGAGATCAGACTTAATAATAAGCTTCGGGGTGTGGTGTATCCACCGTATTCTTGATCTCTCACTTATGGAAAGCCGGCCAGAGCTTTGGGGGAAATACACCTATGTGCTCAATCGCCTACAGGTAAATTATCTTTAAGAGTTTGCTATCTTTTCTTAAGTAATCAGATGTCTATATTTCAGCTGTTCTCTTCATTTACATTTATGTCTCAAAAAAAGAAAACATATATTTTTTTATGCATTCATCACTTGGATAAATTGCTCCAACGTGTTTATACATTCATCACACATTAATGTAGAACCTGCCCATTAGCAGACAATATAATATGGCTGTTCGTTGCATGCTCTTCTAACTATCTACCAGATACAGCATTGTCATTTCTGTCTTATCTTCTCTTGTACATAGTTTTGTCCAATACAGTTCACTGACCTTTTTTATTTTTATTATTTTTATTATTTTTTGTTTTGCTTTATGAGCAGGGCATCATTGATCCAGCCTTTTTTAAGCCTCGTAGTCCCTTGGCCGCATGCTTTTGCCTTGAAGTTCCCATGACTCATCAGCAAAAGTCAAGCCCCCATCTTTCAAATGGGATGCTACCCCCAACTGCAAAACCAGCCCGGGGAAAATGCACAACTGCATCAACGTTGCTTGACCTGATCAAGGATGTGGAGATTGCGATCTCTAGCAGGAAAGGACGCACAGGAACTGCAGCAGGTGATGTTGCTTTCCCAAGGGGGAAGGAAAATTTAGCCTCTGTTCTCAAACGGTACAAGCGTAGGTTATCCAACAAGCCCGTTGGCACCCAGGAAGTGACTGGTTCACGCAAGATCCCCACGTCAGCACCATACAACTTGTAGCATTTTGCATTAACAAAATCAGTGTTGCTTGGGCTGTTTTACAATTTACATATTGTGAAGCAGCTCATGCTCTATCTAGGTCAATGAGTGCTGTGTCTCCGTCACTCCGTGTATCAAAATCTTTTCAGTAGAATTTATCCTTGTATGTTACATACACATAGGGCAAGAATTACTATATGCAATTGCGGCAAAATCAAAGTTGAAAAATGTTTAGATCGAAAATTAGTTCCACTTATTTGTTACTTATCCAGCTAGTGGATATGGAAGGCATGGAAACGAAAATTTTGACGCAAAATTTTTCATTATATATTATATATATATATATATATATATATATATAAATTAAATTGCACAGCTAAAAGAATAATAAGTCTTATATCAAATTTTAACCATTGATTTTCGTGTATTTGATGGTTATGATTTATTGGATTATATTAATTAAATAATTATTAATTCTAAAAAAATTACAATTATTAAATAACAGAAATTAATGGCTAAGATTTGATACAAGATTTATTATTCTTACATTGGTGTAAGATAATCTTGCCTCATATATATATATATAGAGAGATGATTATATTTTCAAATTTTTTGCTTACAAATTTTTACAAACTAGTCTATGTACTTTCGAAAGTACACTAGATTATACTATGTACTTCCGAAACTCGAGAATTTGAAGTATATATTGTAATTTATAAATGGATCCTTCATATATATATATATATATATATATATATATATATATATATATATAGGAAAAAGTATTTCTACAGCAACTTTAAATAAGCTTATTTACAGCTGCCATTTTTAATTATATTCTCACGGGAGAATATAGTTAAAAATGACAGCTGTAGATAAGCTTATCTAAAGTTGCTATAGAAATGTTTACCCCATATATATATATATATATATATATATATATATATATATATAGTAAAATCATTTCTGCAGCCGCTTTACATATAGCTATGACAAGTGTATGGTTATGATTTCCCACATTTAATGCTTTCATCTTTTGTGTAGTTATGATTTTCCGCATTTAATACTTTCACAAATATATATGACAACTATTTGATTGTTGCACGTACAATAGCTGCAGAAATGTAAAGCCCATATATATATATATATCACTAAATTTTGTTGGATTGAAAGTTTTCTGGACATAGATTAAAGTTTTGTCCAAGTCCAAAACCTTTTTTATATTTTATTTAAAATTGGCACAACCTAACTATTTCTAAATTTGGTATGTGTAATAGTTATGATAATACTATGTAATTAAATGGTTTAAGTGATAAAATTCACTATCTACATAAAGTAATTCAAAGAAGGGAAATATGATATTCATGTTGTAAGAGATAAAATTATTTTATGCACATACTTTTCTCTCTTTTTTCTCTTTAATGGCTATCATTCACTTTTTATGTGTAGTATGAAATAAAATTGTCTCATCCAATATTAGAAATATATTACCTTTCAAAGAATGTTTTTTATTAAGGGTTTTACTTCTCTCATATTATAGGAGAGAAATTATTTTATGTTGTGAGATAAATTATGTGGGGTTCACTAATTTTTAAAAAAAGAAAAAAAAAGTGAAGCACATCTTTTTATGTGAGTGTAACATGAGAGATTAATCTTATGTAACATAAGAATATAATTTTCCTTTTATTAATAAGTAAATATGGTTTTAAGAGTAAAACTTTTCAACGATGTTAGTGGATGATACGACGATGGTGGTTTTTGTTGTTTAATGTTGGCAAGCGTGAATGTTGCCAAATGGCTCAAGCTTTGTTACTGATGACACTCGAGGGAAGGGACAAATTATGCGATAATGATTATAGCTTAATTTAAATATGTCTCACTTTGATCATCATACACGATGATTCAGTTACAAGCTCTGCGTGTGTATTATTCTGGTAAGTTGTTTTCCTCCAACTCTACTGGTGAGTTCAGGAACACGACAGTACTGAATATATTTTCAAAGGCCCGGCAGGCACACCTCTTAGAAAAAGACATAATGCTGTATTGAAATCCCACCTCACCTATATTTAATTTTCAATACTTCTGGTCGATTGAGTCTTTTTTTAAAACAAAAATAACATCAAACGTTTTAAAACAGGGAGGGAGATTGGGTTTACGCGTTTCCGAGTGTCCAATCAAGGTGGCGACACGTGTAATACGTTTCACTTAGAAACGGGGTTGCCAGCTCATATCATATGTATTTCCGAGAGCTATGATCGCGTAATCAGATCGCATCTTCTCAATTCCCTCTCCAGATTTTGTGTTGCAGACGGTGCTTCCTTCACTATTATAATCACTAACAGGTACGCAATTAACTATCTCTTAATTCAATTTCCCTTCTTCCAATTCATCAAGATTTCAATTTACCAATTTATCTCTGTTTTGTAATTGGATTCGTTCAACTCAAACAATATGTGTTAATCGCCAATAAACCATAATCATATTTCAATTCCTTAATTCTTAAATTCTTAACTTATTCGGAGCCAGTCAAACAATCTTGTTTCTCTTCATTAATTTTTTTAGTTTGAATTTTTTTTTTAGAAATATCAATATTATATGGTATTATGAATATGTATGTAATCTATATCTGATTTGTTGTGAGTTTTGAGTTCTGATTCTGAGGAATGAATATGCGATGGCGTAGGTGTAAATAAAGGAATGGGTTTCGTGGTGGTGATATCGTTGCCATTAATATTGTTCATATTGATATTGGCTTTGGCATGTTACCTGTTCGGTAGGTCCAAGGCTCGACAACAATCAAGTGCATACCCACAGCAATATGGACCACCTGTTCCTCCACCGAATGTCCAACCCAAATAACCACACACCCTAGAAATTTTATCCCATTTGTTGCAACGAACTCCTGTGCACTTTAGAGTTTGAAAATATGCTGTGTAATTATAATAATCAATATAGTTGGTAAGAAAACTAATACGATGGAATATTTCTATTCATGACCTAATATTGAATAAAATGTTAAAGCATTGAAATTTATTTCCCCCTTAATGGGTATGTTAGGTGATTGATGCTTTGAAAAAAATTGGATCTGTTGTGGTAGGTGCTTATGAACACCTTCATCAGTCAGTCATCGTGAACTTGTGGATGGGTCAAAGGTGCCTATGAATAATATAATAAGAATCTGAAAGGCGTGCCACTCCTAAACCAAAGCGACCATTATGGCTGGATTAGATTCACAAGTTATTTATTCATCTTTTTTTTTTTTTTTTCCAATTTGATTCTGATCTCAATGGGCGTCTCTTTTATTTGCAATATTAAGTTTAACTTAGTCCGATGATAATTTTATTGCAGCTGCTGCTAAAGTGGATTGTAAAATGCGCTAACCAATCAAGTCCACTATTTATTTATTTTAGCGTAGTTATGTACCCACGTATCACTTTAAATCTTGCGCAATTTTTATGATTTGATTATAATCAGTTTTTTTTAAACATTTAGATTATGATTTTGTCACGTATCAAAAAATGTGAGCTCTATTTTTTTAATTTCTTTATTGATTTATCAATTAAATTTTTTGTCGAGCCGGATAGGACAACAAGGGCAAAAAAAATTTTCTACTAAATTTTTAACATAACTGCACAATCAGAATTCGAATTTGAAATTACTGATTAAGTTATAATAATTTTATGATTTTTTTCTTGCAACTCTTACTGAATTTGAGCTAATTTAGGAGTAAGTGAGGGTTTATGGAGGACTCCGACGGTCACTCCCTTTCAAAATTTATATAATTATTAGTTGTGAGCAATATTTTTGGGTTCGAAACAAGCACCATCAAAGGTCAACATGACCCCATATATCTCATCATGGGCCTTCCCTTGTGAGTTGTGACTAAGGTTCAATCTAATCTCTTCAAGTTATGTGTAGATAAAATTATTAATGATTCTCCTATGAGATACAATTATTTTTTGCAACTCCGAAACGATATTATTTTGGGGTATGGGAAAAATTCAGGGTATTCTAATAAAATTAAATAATACAAAAGGAAAGTTAAATTACTAAAATATCATGTATTTTAATCGTTGATTTTCGTTAATATGACGGTTATAATTTATTGTGAAATAATAATCAATTAATAAGTGTGATCGAATAAAATATAATTGCTAGATTGGCGAAAATTGATGGTTAAGATTTAATATCAAACTTTTTAGTTTGACACCTGTAACGCCCGACCGCTTCAAGAATTAACGACTATCCCCACATATTAACACGAGACTTTTCAGTGTGTTTTTTCCTCACTCGCACACTTCCCGAGAAAACTTCCTAGGAGGTCACCCATCACATAATTGTTCCAAGTCAAGCACGTTTAACTATGGAGTTCTTCCGTTCCGGGCTACCGAAAAGCAGATGCATCTTATTAGTATAGGTAGTACCAATTAATTCTTATAAGTTATCCCAAGCTGTGTAGTCTCATTCTTGCACAGTCTTTAGAATTCCTCTTTTTCGGGTGTTGATTCGATTCATTCATGCATATATCCCCCGCTAGAAGCCTGTTAGAAGCCGCTCCTTGTACGTGCCTCTTTGCAGCGGCGATCACTCCCCGCCCTCGTCAGCGCTCGGGATGTTACAACACCGATGTCAAGGAATGTTTTCCTTATATATATATATGGGTTTTTCGGATGTATAATGACTGTATACAAGGTTTGGTGCAATACAAAATTTATAATTATGTATTTTCGGGAATATATAGTTCTAATGTTAAGGTTTTTCTTTTTTTTCTCTCTTTAAAATTATAACTATGTAGTCCCGGGCAATATTGTTAAGATCGAGATCTTACTTAAGATCGGAAGGGAGTAAAAAAATCGTAAATCGTAATATCGACACGGATCGTAAGATCGTTACTGTGCATATACAATATTAAAATTACATAAATGATTAAATATTTATCATATAATGACATTATATTAAGATTTTTTATTTAAACCAAAAAATTATTAAACTTTTTTTTCTTTAAACCAAAAAATAATTTATCACATAATCCTTAATTGATAATTTCTTGTTTTACTGGTTAAGCAAAAATAATAATAATATTCTTCCATTTATACAATTTTATTACTTTTAATATACTATTATTATGTAGTTAAACTTAAATCAATTTCTTTTTAATTATATGTTGCGTACACTGTCATTCTTTATTCCATGAGATGGACAAACTTGTCCATCGCATGACAACTTGCACATTAATTATAAATTAGGATATAATAGTAAAATGGTATTAG